TGTGTGTGTGTGTGAGTGCAGAGTGACAATGACCTTTCCCTAGAAATCATAAACTCTTTAGCACTCAGGATTGCATCAGAGAAGAGATGGCATATTTAAATGAGAATACATTGGGGAGAGTTTCTCTGCAAAGTGACTATTTCAGAAGATGTGAATGTGGGAGCGGACAGAAAGTGTAGCGGAGAGAATCAGTGAAGCTGTTACCACGCCTAGTAGGGAGGAAAGGAAGGGCTGATGTGACCTGGGAGGGGTGCGTATGGGGAAGCTGCCTTCAGCGTGACTTTCAGTACAGAGGCGCAGGTGGCCGGCTGAGGCGACTTGACCCAAGGCTGCCCACTCTGTCCTGACACCCTTCTCTCTGGTCATGATTGCCCATTGGCTGACCTCAATCAGAAGCCAGAGTTAGAAGGGCAACAGGTCCTTTGTCTTGGCTTCTAGAGAATGAATTTGACCTGGTGGAAGGCACCTGAAAGGCCTCTGGAACATTCCCACCACATGTGTCCAGCTATTGCTGACAGAGGCATAAGACTCTACAGAAAATGTACTTTCGTTTTTAAAATAAAAGTATTTGTTGATGCATGATTAACATGCAATAAACTGCACATAATTGAAGCATGCAACTTGATACATTTTGATGTTTAGATCTACCTGTGAAACCATGATAGTGAATTTGTCCTACTTTAACATTTAAGATAGTCTGGGCAGTGGTGGCACACGCCTTTAATCCCAGCACTTGGGAGGCAGAGCCAGGCGGATCTCTGTGAGTTCAAGGCCAGCCTGGGCTACCAAGTGAGCTCCAGGAAAGGCGCAAAGCTACTTGGAGAAACCCTGTCTCAAAAAACCAAAAAAAAAAAAAGATAGTCCATATGGTTCCTTTAGGAAATTATGGAAAGATATCATGGAATCAAGCCATAATAGCACAATTTCAACAGTGTTGACTCAGACAAAATACACACAATATAAAATCCAAAGTTCATGCGGCATGTGCGGATCTAGCTCAGTGGTGGAACACTTGCCTAACAGGCAGAAGATCATGGTTCATCCTCATCACTGCAGGCTAATGATTCCCACCCCCAAATAGCAAAAATGATAGGCTCGATGGAACAGGCCTCGTAATCCCCGGTGTTCAGGAGGCTGAGGTGAGAAGATCACATGTATGAGGCTAGCCTGGGATACAGAGTCAGTTCCCTGAGAATTTAGTGAGACCTTGTCTCAAAACACAACAAGAGGGCTGAGCATGTAGCTCAGCAGAAGAGCATGTACAAGGCTCTGTGTTCAATCCCAGCTCCATACACATTCTCACAAAACTTGGGAGAAAATGCTTTCATCTGACTTCATAGTGAAAAAAGAAAATGAAGTCTGAAAAGTTTTTTTTTTTAATCTGAAGTTTGCATTTGTTTATTGCCAAATATTTAAAACAAAATATGGGGCGGGACACATGGCTTTAGCAACTAAGAGTGTTTGCTGCGCTTACAGAGAACCTGAGTTCAGATCTCAGCACCCAGTTCTGGCAGCTCTCAACCGCCAGTAACTCCAGCTCCAGGGAATCCAACACTGTCTTCTGGCCTTTGCAATCACTGTGCTCAAGTTCACAAGCACCCCCCCTTCCACATGTAGATACAATTTAAAAATCATGTAAACTGATCCAAATGTAAGCCTGTGGATCTATATGGTCTGAGTAGTTAGCAATTTAAGTTTTGAGGAAATCAGTGCTAAATGTGTGTTTATTTAGCTCTGGTGGAACGGTAGATGTGAAGTTTCAGTGTGCACTGTACATGATAGTCCTATGTCAAAGACAGTTCAGAAACAGGCTCAAGATTGGGTAAAAGATCTCTGTAAAGAGATCTTGGTCCTCGGGGAGAGAGCGTTGGGAGATGTGATGATTAAACTTGGTGGCCAGCTTGATAATACCGGTGAAGAGGGAACCTCACAGTTGGCTAATTGCCTCCATGAGGTTGGCCTGTGGGCCTGTCTGTGGGATATTTTCTTGATTGCTAATTGATGGAGCATGGGCCATCCTACTGTGAGCATGGGCCATCCTACTGTGAGCAGGGCCATCGTTAGGCAGGTGGGCTTCACCTCTGTGAGAAAGGTAGCTGCTGAGCAAGCCTGAGAAAGCAGCCAGTGTCTCTGCTTAGCTCCTGCCTCCAAGGTCTCTGGTGTCACTCTGTGACAGACTACAGTCAGTCTGTGAGCAGATTAAACTCTTTTCTCCCACAGGCTGGTCCGGTCAGGGTTTTATAACATCAGCAGAGAAGCCCACCAGGACAGGACAGGAGCTGTGCTATTGATAACTGCTCACAGCTGTCACTGTCACCATTGTTGAGTATTCCGTGTGCATTTGGCACCAGCCACCCCTTGGTTTAATCCTGTGCAAACCACAGGAAGCAGATACTGCTGTGCTTCCTCCTTTACAGATGAAGATAATCTTAGAAATGTGGAGACTGAAGTGAGTCGCAGAAGCCACGATCTTACTGTCTAAAGGTCACAAGGCTTGTAAGTGATAGAGCCACGGCAGATTTGGATTCCTGCTTTATCCTATTCTGCATTATATTATGCAGCACACCAGTCACCCGCAAACACATTTAAGGAATATTAGGAGCAAGTTTTTGATACCCACCTTTAGTGAAACAGAGTGCTAAAGTTCTACCTGGGTTGAGAGCTGGCACCCACAGCCTTCACTGTCCTCAGAGTCCTGTGGTTCTAAGGCATTTGTTCTCAACCTGTGGGTCGTGACCCCTCTGGGGATCAAACATCCGATATCGTGAATACCAGATATTTACATTACAGTTCATAACCGTAGCAAAGTTACAGTTATGAGGTAGCAATGAAATAATTTTATGGCTGGTAGTTACTACAACATGAGGAACTGTATTAAAGGGTCGCAGCGTTAGGAAGGTTGAGAACCGCTGCCCTAAGGAAACACAGGATCTCCTAACGCCAGGGAAGGAAGGTCTGGGCCGGTGGAGGGGTGCTGCATCCATCCTCAGGGGCATGGTAGCATCTGTCAGCACAAGAGCTTGGCCCAGCCCCGCCCCCCTCCCAGGCTTCTGTTTACTGGCTTTCAAATGCAACGGGCAAATCCCGAGTGCTCTCGCAGTCCAGGGTAAGGGCTGGTATGACTTCGGTCTATACGAGGCTGACTCCTCACACACGTCTTCAGAGAAGTGTCCTTTGGCCAACTATATCATGCCACTTGTCACCGTCTTGCCTATGTTTCTTCAAAACAGTGGTCCTTATCAGTCTGTTTTCAAATTTGTTGGTCTTTAGGCTATCTGCTCTTGCTTAAAAAATATTGAGGACCAAAAGAGAAAACACAAATTATACCATTTGCAATTTAAATGACAATAACTGGCCCGTTATCTATTACCAAAAACCAAGTATGAAAAAATGAGTGTACGTTCTACAACAACCATGAAGCTTAGCGTTATTTGGTGTGTGTGTGTGTGTGTGTGTGTGTGTGTGTGTGTGTTATCTCCTCTGTTCATAAAAGATAGCTAGGTTGTTGAAATGCTTCTGCTGTCCAACCTGTCTGACCTAAATATGTTATTTAGATGAAAGTAGATGAAGAAAGTCTGGCCTCATAAAGGCTTACAATTCCCCATTGTATGGGAAAGGGAGAGATATTTTAATAGTCTTTTCACTTAGAGACAGTATCTGATTTATCATGGTTCAGGTGAATACTTTTCAACTTTATAACAGTTCAGAAATCAAGCCCACATAGCCATTCTGCTCACTTCCAGTGCGGTGGTCTGTAAATCACAGGGAGCATTCCGCACTGTACTGTAAGGGGGCTTGTGTGTAAGTGTGAGGCTCTAAGGTGGGCTCGTCTAACTTACACTCTCCTCTAGGCTACCTTTATTAAATGCATTTTACAATTTATGATCATTTCAATTTGTGAAGGATTTATTAGGCATATATTCTCATTAAAATTCAAGGAACTTCTGAAATGATAGAAATTACGTTTTTACGATTCTAAAACTCAACAAGTCTTTGTCTCTTAGTGCTGGATGCTGTGGAGAGCCTGTGCCCTGGAAATGCTTTCGTGAGCCATCCCCAAGCTGCAGTCCGTGGAGTGCTTTCTCGAAAGGCTCCGCGTCTTTCCAGATTATGGTTTACCTAAAGTCGAATAAGAATCATTAACCATCAGTTTCATCATACCATTAAATAAGTCTGTAAAAAAAATCAAGTCCTCAAAGAATAGAGATGCCCCTTCTAATCAGATTTCAACTTCTCACATGCAGTGGGATTAGAATCCTTTTTCTTGATTGTGATTGACATATTGTGCACCCCAATAAACTTATCTGGGGGTCTGAGAACAGAACTGCCTCTATATTAAACATAGGTTTAGGCAGTGGTAGCACATGCCTTTAATCCTAGCATTCCAGAAGCAGAGATCCGATTGGATCTCTGTGAGTTCAAAGCCACACTGGAAACAGCCAGGCATGGTGACACATGCCTTTAATCCCAGGAAGTGATGGCAGGAAGCAGAAAGGTATATAAGGTGTGAGGACCAGGAACTAGAGTCTGATTAAGCTTTTAGGCTTTTAGCAGCAGTTCAGCTGAGATCCATTTGGATGAGGACTCAGAGGCTTTTAGTCTGAGGATTCGTGGAAACAGGATCAGCTGAGGAATTGGCAAGGTGAGGTTGGCTGTGGCTTGTTCTGTTTCTCTCATCTTTCAGTGTTCACCCCAATACCTGGCTCCCATGTTTTTTTTTATTAATAAGACCCTTTAAGATTCGTGCTACACTTGGTAGAATAAATTACCAGTTCCCGTAATAGTGCCTTGGTAAATATTTGTTGAAAATACTGGTTTATTGAAATGCTTTTATTCCTACATCCAATTCCTATTTGTGTCCATTACCTTACCATATCAGTGGGGAAACTACCTTTCAGGACACACCTGGACATCCAGATCCTGGACTTAGGTGGCTGCTGTATCCATTCCTTCACAACGTTTCCAGGGCATTAATCTGTAGTTCTGTTTGCCTCTTTAAGATCCATACGGGCTTACAGCATCTCCTCATCAGGACTTGTCAGCCCAGCTGTGTGCCCCTGGACGAGAAACTCCTGCCCCAGCTCTTAAAGGAAGCAGGCTATGCTACGCATATGGTCGGGAAGTGGCACCTGGGGATGTACCAGAAGGAATGTCTGCCCACACGCCGAGGATTCGATACCTACTTTGGTAATGGAAATGCATATGTTTCTTTAACAACACAGGCCTGCTGCAGCCAGCTCCTAAAACACACCCAAGTGTCATCAAACAAAAGGACTAGGAACTTGAGCACAGAGTAAATCAGCCAGCACCATAGTGGGGCGACTTTCTGATGCTCCCTCCATAAGCCAGCTCCGTGCTGAGCTCTGGGTGGGGATGTGCTCACAGCAAGGTAGTCACCTTTGCCGGAGCACTAAGGGGAAGCGTCAGGGGAGTTTATATCTGAGACCGCTATGCACTCTAGAATCTTCTTACCTAAAGATGATAGCGGCGGAGTTTTATGGAATCAGAGGCAGATTTTGTGTTTCCTTCACTGGAGTTCACATACTTTTCCCTATGGCCTGTGTTCAAAGCCCCCTCTCCAGGGGGGAGGAGGAGGAGGACTCACTTTCCCTAAGCATATTCTCCTACCTGTGAGATCTGTTCCTGGAATTACTAGGTTGGAGAAAGTCCATTTATTTGTTTTTTTGTTTGTTTGTTTTTGTTTTTTCGAGACAGGGTTTCACTGTGTATCTCTGGCTGTCCTGGAACTCACTCTGTAGACCAGGCTGGCCTCAAACTCACAGAGATCTGCCTGCCTTTGCCTCCCAGGTGCTGGGATTAAAGGCATGTGCCACCACTGCCCAGCTGAGAAAAACTTGTTTAGAAAATTAATAACAACTAGAGAGATAATAAAAAAAATGGTAGTGGGAGATAATAAAGCAATAATGAGAAACTGGAGAGCCCTCAGAAGTAAATATGCGATCTAACATTTGTTTTCAAGTGTGACACTGTAAACCTGTTATAAACTGCTATCATTACTGACCTGCTTGCCGCCAACGGTGTGTCTTTCATGTTGAGCTGACTTTCTGTCTGCCTGTTTAGTTCCCTCTCTCTCTCCCTCCCATCTGCTTTTTCCAAACTGGATGCATATTTAACATAAACATTTAAGTAGGATAACAAAATTGGAATGACTGGTAAGACATGGAATAATGTAAATGTACCACATTGCAAAAAAAAAAAAAAAAAATGTAAAAAGCTGCCTGGCTCCAGGAGCACTCTGCATTCAAGTCTAAGATCGGAGGCTTCTTATGTCGGAAGGGCAGGATGTAGAGGGAGAGTCTGCAAGAGGACGTTAATACAGGCTAAGTGGGCAGGAGGTATTGAGGAACAGGAAGCTGCTACCGACTCTTAGCTGTGAGAGAAGCGTCTTGGGAGGAAGGCAGAGTGGAGAGTGTCACTCCAGTCCTAAAGTGATGGCTCCGTCATAGCTTGTTTTTAGGTATTTGTTTCCATGTGAGGTAAGGCCAAAGCAGAGTTCAGTGAAAAGGAGCGGGTCCACATAGGCTCAGACGGATGCAGCCAAGCACTTGCATCTAAAACTGTGGTCAGGATGCAGGCGTGTCGGACAGGAGAGCAGGGGTGTCCTCTCCTACCCAGGGCGCTGCAGCACTGCTAGCCAGCCGTGACATCCTTTCTGGCTCAGTCTGAACAAGTCTTCAGCGCCCTTGAGTATCTGTTAAAAATCAACCTTCTTTGATTTCACATCCTGGAAATTCAAGAGGAATGCCTTGTGCACCTTGGGGATTTTTTTTTTTTTTCATGTAGCCCTTTGCTAGAGGATGTGTTACTGTCTGTCCTTTGACAGACTGGGGATATTAAAAATCCTTATTAAAATCCCAGTTGTGTACTTCCATTTTAGTAGGACAGCTGGTGAGATAGTTCAGTTGGTAAAGTGTTGGCACTGATGAACCTGAGTTTGATCCCTAGACCTAAGTGAAAGAAGTGGGTGTCACATAGGTTCTAGTCCTGGCATACAGGCTGTGGAGATGGGTGGCCAGGCGACCTAGCTTAATTGTCAAGTCAGTCAAAGAACCTGTCTCAAAAATCAGGGAGCTAACTCCCGGCAGTGACATCAGAGTCGTCCCTTGGCCTAAACCTACACTTACACACAGACACAAACTAAAAACTTCACGTAAAAGGCAGCAATCATACACCTTTGTGAGAGTTGAGGTCTACCCTGGACCTAGACAGACCGGTTCCCACATTCACACGAAGAGAGACGTGCAGTCAAGAGGAATATTTGGAGCACACAGCCATCTAGCATTGTAGTTTAGCTGTCCTGCTGAAAGCAGTTAGGGTATTGTCAATGCTTTCAAAGCCAAGGAAGTCCACCCATGATGGGTAACTGTGCTGATGTGGACTTAATAAAACTGTTGAAGGACACAGATTTGTTGTTTGTTTTTTTTAATCTTTTTTGGGGCCCGCCACCCAACTCCCAGATAAATCACAAATGGAAGCTTATTATTACTTATGAATGCCCGGCCCTAGCTTGGCTTGTTTCTTGCCAGCTTTCCTTATCTTAAATTATCTCCGTCTACCTTTTGCTTCTGGGCTTTTCCCATTCTCTTACTTTTACTCTGTGGCTTGCTGGTTGTGTAGCTGGGTGGCTGGACCCTCATGTCCTCTCCTTCTCTGGCTATTTCCTCTTTTCTTCTCCTCCCAGATTTCTCCTTCTATACATTCTCTCTGCCTGCCAGCCCCGCCTATCCTTTCTCCTGCCTCACTATTGGCCGTTCAGTTCTTTATTAGACCATCAGGTGTTCTAGACAGGCACAGTAACACAGCTTCACAGAGTTAAAACAAATGCAACATAAGCAAAAGTAGCATACCTTCAAATAATATTCTACTACACAGATTTAGTTGTTCAAAAGTATTTCCTAAAGTTTTTCACAAAAACACGGGCTGCTGTCATCCTTAGGTTCAGCCTTCAAGTTCAAGTTTGTGAGTGGCGATGGTGAAGGCACTGTGTGACTGTCCCTGGTCTGTGCTCAGTTTGGCCAAGTGTTTGAGGAGCCAGTTCTGTTTCTACAGTTCTCCTATTGGTCATATCATTTAATATTTATGATTCTTATACCCGAATATACCCTGTGCCTATGTCCTTCACAGTGATAGTTTATATTAGGGAACCTGAAGTTTACTCTCCAAACTCTAATAACCTCATCGATGTTAAAATCACAAACTAGGTCCTTATCACTTTAATTTCCAAGGGAAGGGTTGAAATTATTCTTCATTTTATTTATTTATTTCTCTGTGTGCACATGCGTGTGCACGCATATGTGTGCATGACAGCATGCGTGTGGAGGTGTGAGGACACTTGCAGGGGTCAGTTCTCTCCTTCCACTGTATGGAACTCAGGGATCGAACTCAGGCCGTCAGGTTTGGTGGCAGACACCTTTCTGCACGGAGCCCTCTCACCAGCCCTGAAATTAGTTTTTGTGAATACATTTTTCTATTTCACATTAAGTAATAAACATGTTGGATTTCTTTGCTATAACTATAGATGAAAATCACATAACAAATTATCTTAAGGTCAATATACTAATTATATTTAGCACCTGACCTTGGATCATGGAAAACAGTTAAGCTACAATGAACTGAATCATTATGTAAGTTGAATAAGACTCTTAATTATCATTGTGGAGAAAATTCATGGGAAGGGAAAGAGCCAGGCCCATTTTTCATCATTTTAAGAATAAAAAGGAATATATTTAAGAATATAGCTAAGATCCCAGGAAAGTTTATTTCTTTTTAATAGCTGTATTGGGGTGTAATTCACACACCACGCAGTTCACCCAATTAAGGAATTTAATTTAGTGATTTTTAAACACGTTGAGAGATTGTGTCGTTATCACCACGGTCCAGTTGTGGGACTTTTTATCACTCACAAGAGAAACCAAATTCCACAAGCAGTCACCCCAGCTTCCCCCCAGCCCCCAGCCCTGGGCCTCACTACCTTCTCCTTTGTGTTGACTGACTTATTCTGAGCCAGTCTTCGAGTTTAATCATGATAGAGCTTGCTTTCATACTTCAGCAAAACATGGCACGTTTACGGAACAGCTATTGCAAACTCTTTTCTCCTGCGCGTCAGTCCCTGTCGTGGGAGGGGAACCTGCCAGAGAAACAGCGATGTCGATAGGCCGTTTGGCTCAGTGAGCAGCGTGGCTCTAAATAGTAGGTGCTGTATGTGGACCGGTCTAGATAGAATGCTCTGCTTTGACCTGGAGCTGGGAAGCCATCAGAGAGAGCTTGTACTTGGAAAGCTTTGTGTCTTCCCACCAGTGGGTGTCAGCATTTGACTGACTATAACTCCTGCTGAGGCCTCCTCCATAACTAACTGCAGGCGTCAGTCTCCCAACTGCAGTAACAACGAATGACATGATCTTAATCCTGTTTTTATTATCTTACCAGTAAAACCTCGTAACAAACCGCATTGCCAGTGTACTGTCTTTTCTCCTAGCTTTAAAGGATTAACATCTTCCTGCCTACTGAACTTGAACTCTGATTCCTCAAAAAGCATTTCCAGGGAATCATCCCCTCACAAAGAGTTGACAGGATAACATCGAGCTCTGAAAGACGCGCGTGAGAAAGGGCTTGGATTTCTATGCAGCACATTTTAACGGCGTCGACGAACAAACATAGAGATGTTAAGAAATGTAGCTCTGATTAGCCTTGTCATTTGATTAGCTTCGTCACGGGCAATCAATTGCCTCAGGCAATTAAATGCTGGAACGTTCGTTCCTTCGCTTCACAGGCTCTCTGCCATGCCCACTGTTTGGTCTCCCTTTCTTCTTGTAGGGTACCTCCTAGGCAGTGAAGACTACTACACCCACGAGGTCTGCGCGCTGATCGAGCCTTTGAACGTTACCCGGTGTGCCCTCGATTTCCGAGACGGTGAAGAACCCGCGAGAGAGTATAAAAATATTTATTCAACAAACATATTTAGCAAAAGGGCTACAACCCTCATAGCTAACCACCCACCAGAGAAGGTAAGGCTTCCTTCTTCAATATTATCGAAATTCTGTTACTTCTAAAGGGATTTTTTTTAAGCTTTAGAGCACATTCCAGTTAGCCAGAAAGGGAAGGTTATTAAAAGTGAAGAATCTGGATCTTCTCTCTTAAAGATTTGATGGACCAGGTTTGGGAGAAATCCATACAGCATACAAGAACCCCTAAGAAATGATTCTCACAAGAGGGGATCCTGGACTACAGGTGGGGGAATGCTGTCTTTCAGGATTTCAATGAAAACCCTGCTTACTCTTTTTTTTTTTTTTTGGTTTCCTGAGACAGGGTTTCTATGTGTAGCCCTGGTTATCCTGGAACTCACTCTGTAGACTGGCCTTGAACTCACAGAGATCCACCTGGCTCTGCCTCCTAAGTGCTGGAATTAAAGGTGTGCACCACCACCACCACCACCACCACCACCACCGGGCTTTGCTTACTCTTAGGATGCTCTGTATGCATGCACTATAAAGTGGGTAACAAAACCAGGCTTCTCGTTCCACGTGTCTGTGTGCAAGGCAAGGCTCCATTCTAGAGAACTGTTAGGAATTCAGGGGTCAGAGAGAGTCCTCACCTCTTACCCTTTTCTCTTCAGGATTATTTTGGTTACTCTCAACCATTTGTATTCCATGTTAATTTTAGAATCGGTGGACCAGTTTTTACCAAGAAAGCAAAAGGTGGCTGCTTTATTTGGTGTTCATTGATCAACTTAAAGGAAATGGCCATCCTAAATACTGAGTTTTTAAAATTCACATGCCTGCTATATTGGTTTTCACAGGAACGAACCACAAGGAAGCTGTTGGGTATGTCATGTGCAGACTTAGCTGCAGGTCAAAAAAGAGTTGTGAATAGCCTTAAACCCAGACTGTCTGGATTTAGCAATCTGAGGCCTTTTGAAGTGGGGCCGATATTTATGTTGTCAGATATGGGGCCCAAAGAGTGTCCTTGTGAGTTTTATTAGTACACTCCCAAGAAATGTCCTTCAGTGGGAGCCCGCCTAACATGGAGGATTCCAGAATGTGCAGGTCCGTCCTTCCACACTTGGTCTCTTTGACAACGCCTGGAGGTACTCAGCATAGGCCTTGATGAGAGATGTCTGGCTTGCATACCTGTTCAGACTTAGTGACCCGCTAATGACTCCTGTCTGTATGAAATCTTCCAGCTTCTGTCTTAGTCAGCATGAGGAATCTTCCCAGGTGACTGGTCTCAGCTTTGCTTCACTTTAGATTTTTATTTATTTATTTATTTATTTATTTATTTATTTATTTATTTATTTATTTATTTATTGAAGAGTGGAACCTAATCTTATTTACAGAACACTGCAGGATATGAAATTCCACACAGAAATAAGAAACTCAGAGGACAGTTTGATATAGTATATACAGTTCACAACCGTTCAAGTATAATTTCTTTGTGAAAGTGCTACAATTAACAAACCACATGTAAAAAGAGTCCTTAGTAGAGAAACAGTAAGACAAATTTATGAGGAACACAGCGCATAGCTAACAGCTTTGTGCCTCAGCTGGACGTTAGAAGTTAAGGGTCCCGGGAGCCCCATCCTGAGCTTGGAAGGCAAAGCTTCAGAGGTTGTTTCTGGCCCCGCGTTCTGATCTTCTCTTCCTCCACCAAGAAGTGCTTCTCAGTCAAGCTTAACAAGGCCTCGTCTACAGACTCATTTTCATGGCTCCACAGTGCTTCAGTCTTGTCCCAGGCTCCACACTCTTCAGTCATTATACTGAGTCTCCGTCTCACCCTGTTTCTCGGCAACCTGAAAGATACCAGAAATGGCATCAAGAAGCACCAGAATGGTTTTGGTATCCTTTGCACTCAAGAGGTTCATCGAAGGTTCTATTACACCGCAATGAACATGATACACAGTGTCCCACCACGAGGGTGGTTGGCTGCAGCCCACACAGCTCCCTTCTGTGGCTTCTGCCTCAGGGGAGACACCAGCAAGAAACCGGAGGAAGCCATGACTCACAACCTGCTGTATCTGGTCCTGGCGTCCAGCTGTGATGTGGCCTCCTCCTGAATGTTAGTTTTGGGGTTTGTGAGCAGGCTGGGAAAGACTGCAAGTGCTCCTGCGTCTGTCACAGTCTGAGTCTGCTCATCTGTTCCAGTGACAGCATTCCCCATGGCTCTTAGAGTCACGGTTGGCAATTCAGTAGCTCCTAGGAGCATCACAAGTTGAGCACAACTCCGGTCTTCACCCCCGTTTCTGTGCGCTCACGTGGACCATCGGTCAGGTAGGAAATAGCCCAGCAGGGACCTGCCGATGCTCCTGGAGCATTGTGATGCAGGAGATACCTCAAGTAGGAAGAATCTGCTCACCAGCATCTGAGGGGGGTGCAGAGGTTTGGAAGTGTCCAGGTAAGATTACGTAAGTAACCACATGCCAAGGAAGACGGGTCAGGAGTTGTAAGAATTGCCAGCCGTGGATCACCCACACCGTATTTGATAACTAAGTCTCGGAAAACTGAACCGTCACCTGCAATGTTTCCAAGAGCCCATACAGCCTGCTCCCTGATGTGAGCAGGGGGAGACGCCAAGAGAGAAAGGAATGCTGGGATAGCGCCCCTATCCACCGCAGCCTTGGTCTGTTCAGATGTGCGATGTTAGGAAGCGCCCACGCAGATTCACACGGAATGGGACTACCATCAGTTTTGCCCAAGAAGGACACAAATTTTGAGATCAAACCAGCCCGGGTGATGTCGTCCATAGGGGGCCATTTCTCCCTAGAAAGCAGTTTCTGAGCAACTTGAGGAGCTTGGAGCTGGCTTTCCACATTGTTGCTGTTTATGCCTTCCACAGTGTCCTCCACAGACCAGTTTACAGTGCCCTGATTGGGGCGGGTTTCCTGCGTGGAGAAGTAGCATCATCGGGAAAGGAGCTGATGTTTGTTTCTCCTCTTCAGCATCTGCTCATCTTTCTTCGCTTTCCCCAGTTCCACATGAACATCTATTCAGCGGCGCCACATTTCAGTACTGTCCTTTCCCGTGTTCTCGAGTCTGTTGAGCCGGGCAGCCGGTGCATTAGCGTTCTCTTTGGTGGACATGGTTGCAGGAATAACAGCGTGCTCAGGGTTCCCTGAAAGGCGGTGCAGGGCTCTCAGGCAGCGGGGTCAGTGGCCCTCGAAATGTCCACTGCGCCTCAGCCCTCAGACTTTGTCTCACTCTGGATTTTTAAGAGCTCCATGCTGATGTCTTGAGACAACCGTGTCTGCCGTGAAACATGAAGAAAGGGAAATGTTCTTCTCTCAAATGTTTAGAGACATGTATGAAACGGTATTGTCACCCAGTGGCCTCGTAACATCAGGCGGCTAAGAGGAAGCAGCTGCGGAGAAGCAGTCCTTTGTGGGTGGGCGGTTGAGTTGGGCTGGTGGAGAAAGGGCCGGAACTGGGGACACTAATAGACCTCAAGAACTCACATGCTATGGGAGGGGTGCTGTCAACATGGCACTGCCCACAGACAGCATTACAAAGTCAGCAGATGGGAGATGGATGCTTCCTGCCCGTTGTGTCTTAGATGCTCTGAAGAAGTCGACGCCCTTCCCAGTGTCCCCAGGCACAGGCGTGAGGGAGGGAGGAGATAGTAGTCAGCAGCAACCCGACCATTTTCACAAGGCAGCTCACACACATCTTCCAGTTTCAGTTCTCAAGACAGGGATGCATCTCACCGGCTTCAGGAGCTGCTCTTGGTAACATCTTTGAGCCTGATTCCGTGCTAGGCTGTCGGGCGCCATGTATAGGTCATAACATGGCACTTGTCATAAGATGGAAGTCACTAAAGGAATTCGCATGAAGTACCCACAAGTCAACTAAAAATGTACCTGCTTTTAAGGGGCAGCTGAGGGAAAAAATCGATAGAGCTGTTGTGTGGCAGCTGAGTTGCTGATGCTGGGCGTGGGGACACTTCTAATGGCTTTACATGTGTCAGGAAGGGACGTCCTTTCTCCCTGATGGCAGGGTGACTCTCACAGTGGTAACATTCATAAAAAAAAAGTAATCTATTCATAACATGACTTTCTGTTGAAAATAGCACAGTAGCACTTTGAAGAACTAAAAAAAGAAGAAAGAAAAAGATCTAAAAGATCTCTAAGATCTCTGCATCTTATCTACTAGAACCTTCCTAAAGAAAACAAAACAAGAACTCCTGTGGAGACTCTCTCTTTGCCCTGGCACAAGTTGGGAGGAAATGTCTTAATTTGGATGTCAGAGACAGAAGGGACCCGAGTACCAGTGTGACCTGTATGGATGGAGGGGAAAGTGTGTGTGTGGAGGAGCAGAGGCAGAGCAAAATGGTGTTAGAAGTGTTGGTACAGAGTTTAGGAGTGGGAATTTGAAATGTTTTTCATGGATATGTGTATAACATTTAATTTTAACATTTAATTTGGAATATCTGGACTCCAAATAAACTTTTAGGTGTCTATTTGAACTCCCTGTACGAACGGTCCTTCCTCTTACCATGCATCTGCATCCCCCTAACTGATTGCACACACTCTATCAAAGGGATATATGTATCATTTAAAACAATTTTACAGCAATAAACAAGTGAAGTGAGCCCCTCCCATCTGCCTTTCTGCCTCCTTCATCTATGGTTTCAATGCCTCAATTACTCTAACAGAATAATGTGCTCATTCTTGGATTGAAGTCAGTGATTGTCTCTCTGAGGGTTTTTAGCTCACTGGAGAATTCTGTAAGGCGCAGTGCAGGGGATATCTGCAGAGTGGCCCCCTAAGGAGAAGAGGTTGGCTAGGAATACCACAGATGCTGAATGCTATGAACTGACATCAGAAAAAACAAACAAACAGACCTTGTGGACCATACTTCTTACTTCCAGGAATTAAATTGGCCTTACATTTATTTGGCTTAACATCAAAGACTAACAAAACACTGTGTTTCCTCAAAAATGTGTTCAAAAGCCCTGTAAACGTCTCTTTATTTTTACCTAACGTATCAGTGCATGTCACCATCATCATAGTGAGGTTGCCAGTAGGAAACACCTCATCAGTTAATGGTACGAGCGCATACCATTTAACCTTTTGAAGCCTTGGTTAATTCATCCATAAAATGGGTATCACGCTGTTTTGGGGTGTCAGATGGCACAGCTAGATAGTCATCAGACTGTTGATATTATTGTTTACCTGGGTCAGAGCCTTCTCTCCTGTCCCATTCTCGAACTTTGACCTTTATGTTGGTTTTAGGTCTTTTGTCATCTTTTGAACATGTTTACTGGGGCCTAATTTGCATAGCATAAAATCCATCCACTTAAAGTAGTATGCAATTAAGTAGGAAACTTCAGAGGTGTTTGATCATCACCACAGTTTGCTTTCATAATATTTCATCACTCGAGAAATTTCTACCTGCTAGTAGTGCCGCATCATTCCTGTCCCAGAATTCCCTATAGCCACAGACAGCCACTCACCTACTTGTCTCCATAGACTTACCTCTTCAGACTATTCAAATCAATGCAGTAATGCAAGGTATGGCCTCTGATTGGCTCTTTTCATGTTTTCAAAGCCCAACTGTGTTGTCCCGGATTGTTTCGTTGGTATATACCATGACTACGAATATTCTGAATTTTGTTTATCCACTCATCAATTTGTAGACATTTGAGTTTTCCTACTTCTTGGCCATTATGAATAATGTTGCAGTGAGCCTCTGTGTACATTTTACATGGACATGCATTTTCATGGTTTTCTAGAAATAGGAAGGCCAGGGCATATAACACTAAAATCTTCACACTGCTTTTTCAATGTCTACATACTCTACATTCCTACTAAGAGCAGTTGAGGATTCCAGTTTTGCCATAGCCTCACCAACATTATTGTTTCCTATTTTAAACACTCGAAGCATCCTAATGGGTATGAAACAGTGTCTCACTGCAATTTTTGTTTAGCAGTCCTCTGGTTATGAAAATTTGTTACATCTTTGGATAAATGCCTATTTAAATTCTCTGTGTTTAACTAACTTGCCTTTTATTGTTGAATAATTTATGTATTCTGGATGTAATCACATTATGACTCAAAGATACTTTTGGTGCCCTCTGTAGGTTGTCTTGAAGTTATTGATATGAACTGATAAATCTTAACTGTCTCATGATTTGCATTTAAAGCCTCCATCCCTTTGAACTGATGCCTCCAAACTCTCTTTCCAGCCGCTGTTCCTCTACCTGGCTCTCCAGTCTGTCCATGATCCCCTTCAGGTCCCCGAGGAATACATGAAGCCATATGACTTCATCCAAGATAAGCACAGACGGATTTATGCAGGGATGGTGTCCCTCATGGATGAGGCAGTGGGAAACGTCACCACAGCCTTGAAAAGCCACGGGCTCTGGAACAACACGGTGTTCATCTTCTCCACAGGTCAGTCTGCCGGTAGGCTGTCCGTCTCTAGGATGTGGCATTCAGTAGGTGGAATAAAGACAGATTGGAGCAGCTGGCATTTCCTTATGAAAACGAATGCTAACTGCAATAGTGGAACCATAGTCGCAGTTCGAATAAGGAAACGGAATTACATATCTTTCCTCCTTTTGTTTGTATTTCCAAATACACCGGGTGTGTACTTGAAGACCAGCTCTCATTGACTCACTGACTGAGTTAGCAGGTTCCACACACCCACAGCGCATCGGGGTGTCAGGTCCCCAAAGTGCCTTGCCAGCCCAGCCGTCTTCTCTGACTACCACTGTTGCTAACTGAAGGTCCCCGTGTGTGGGCAGAGATGGGCTGTGACACTGTAAGACGGATTAGAAAAGGAGCTGATTAAACTTCAGCCAGAGTTTCCAAGTATAAGGTGTTTTTGTATTAAAATAGTTTTCTGACAATAAAAGTCACGCATTCATTTCAGGGAAAGTAAGCAGAGAAAAGGGGGAAAGAGAAGTAGAATCTCAGCCCCCAGGATGTCTAAGAAGGTTTTCATGGAGTCCGGGATTTTGAGTAGAAATCTCTTATGGTCGTGATTCCTTTGCTCCACCAGAAACAGTTTTTTGAATTTCACTCCAAAGGGACTTGGCAGAGATCTTTGCTTGTTCCTTGTCCTGAATGCTCAGGCAGCGTGTTCTTTTCTCGTATTGCTGATTTTGGGATTGTTAGACATCCACCCACCCCTCCTTCCCCACTGTGCAGAACGTCCGATGTTTGCTTACTTGATCAGTCTTCTGACGGTCTTAGTTTCTTGTTCTGTTTTCCTTATATTTCTTTTACTGTTTGGAATATTTGCTTATCAGTCTTTCCTAAACTTGGCATTGACTTGATCTCCATCACTACCATATAGGACAGTTTTAAGAGCCTCATGTGTTTAGTTTAAATAATCCCCACAGTAATTTACTCCCCGAGGACCGTTCCCCCGTCTTGCAGCTGTGAGAACTAGACCCAGAGAAGTTAATACTTAGCCCCCGGTTACACAGCCACATCTGGGCATGTCTGGCTTTCTGCTTCAGGCTCTGTGGCATTTTCTGGCCTCACAGATGGCCATCTTTGTTTATCTAAGACAAGATCTGGTTACCATGTAGCCACGCTGGCCTGAATTCTCAGTCCTCAGCCTCTTTGGTGCTGGGCTTGTGTGTGATGGAGAGTTGATCACGTCCCTGGTGAGTTGATAGTGCTTGTGTTTGTTCTCTTCCAACTCCTGACACAGCAGAGCAGCTTCCATGATGGGCTGCAGTGATGAGCAGCTAAGGATCCAGGCAGGGCACGGTGGCTCAGAAGTGTCTGTGTGAGCAGCTGGTGTCGTAAAGCGGCCACGGCATTAGTGCCATCTAAAGACTATCATTTTCCAAGTGTTCCCTTGTACTGGTGAGGGTTGAATGTAAGATAATTTTTTTTTTCACAAAAAAGGAAGGAAGGAAGGAAGATGTCACATATGTAATCCTTTACAGGGTCTCTTATCATCTGGGAGTCAGCCTCAGTTTACTTCATTTAAAAAACCCTTGTATAGCATTTTTGATCAGTCTGGTGTTGAAGGCCTATGGAGTCTCTAGAAACACTTTGAAAAGGAGACCAGGATGCTTAACACCGATTTAGCAATTATTCCTTGGAAATCACCTCATAACCGCAAAAATTAGAGCCTGTAAGTTAAAAAACTCAAGCCTTTGTTGCAGAGATCGTGATTACACAGTTTCTGGACAGTGATTTCCAGAATAGGGATTAATATGTTACTCATGAGCTAAAGAGGCCTCAGCAGCGAAGATGTTCACTCTGGAAACTTAAATATCTCAAAGTGACTCTCATATGAGCAGAGAGATTGGCGTCAAGGATGTCTGGGAAGAGATGGGATAAATCTTTTTTCGTGATATATGAGAATGAAAAAGTATTTGAAAAAAATCTATGTTTTGTGTCACGATTTCAGATATGTGTGTATTTTAAAATAGAGTTCATCATTTTATAAACATCTGAACATTTTATTCAATTTAGCAAAAATAATATTTGAAGCTTTACTTTGAAAAACTGCACCTTATAATTGGGCTGTCATATCCGAATATGATGGTGTCTTAACAGACACCTAGGTCATCTTTGCTTTGTTTGGGGGCCCAATGCTTATGCCTATGCGTTTTAATAATGCTCCTAAATTGGATTCAGTGGAGTTTTAGTTAGGATTTCCACATCAGTTCACAAGCAAGAGTGGGGTGGTTCCCTTCTTCCCTGGCAGGCTTTGCTGTCTTAGTTGGTTGAATTCATGTGATACAGTGATTAGGATGTTTTCCCCATCTCTCTCTAGGATCTGGAGTTGATAGGCGGTCGTCCCTGGAGCCTTCTTTGGAGGCCTTTTGAAAGTTATCTCCATAGTTTAAATTTTTCCTTCCTTAGGTCTAGATGTGAGTCTTCAAATGTTTTCAAGTTAGTTTTGCCCGAGATAACAGTGACTGCCTTGACTGTTCCTCCAGATGGTTCTCCATCCCAGGAAGTTTTCTCGGCCTGTGTCTGAGCTTGCTGACTTTGCTCGGCTTGATTTGGTGGTGGGGGTTGGCAGAGGGGGGGGGGAGACACGACGACCCAAACTTTGATAGGTTGAATTGCTGGCGAGCTTCTTTTCTTACCCCTTTTTGGCTTTCTGTCCGACCGTCCGTCCGTCCGTCCATCCCCTCCTTCTCCCTCACTACACTGTTTCTGTGTCCCCCCCACCCCCACCCCCTCAGTCCCCCTCGCTCCCCTGTCACCGGCTGGAGAGTTCTGCCGTCTGTGTCCACGGTGCAGATTATTGTGACTGTATATTTGATATCTTTGCAGTCCTTCCTTCCTTTGCTCGGTCTGTGCCCTTCTCCGCGGAGTTTCACGGTTAGAGTGGCCGCTGCGTCAAGTCCTGACTGCGCATGCGCCCAGGCTCCCCACCCCCACCCCCAGTGTTTTCCTCCACGTACCCTGCACTTGCTCATGGTCTAAGCGGGACAGCTCGAGGTTCCTTTGTGAGCTAGTTCCTGTTCCATTTTATCAAAGAAGGAACCCCAACTTCAGGAAGCCGAGAGATGAGTCCCATGTCAAACCCGCGAGACAGAGCCAGAATTCAAATTCAGGTCGAGTGGAGTCAACATCTGATTAGCAATCACTGGGCCTTCTAGCTCCTCTCCTTGTCTTTGACCTCCCTCTCGGCTTTCTGAGCGGCTGTTCCCAAAAGCCAGCCTCTCCCCAAGTCTTCCCGAGGAGAACTTTAAAATCGTCATTTTATGCCGACTCACGCCGGCTTTCTCTGAATGTAAGTGATGTAGAGTCCTTGTGTACAGCACACGTGGCCGTCTCTCTGTCCCCTGGCTAATTCTGTCCCACATCTGTGGTTGGGGTCAGGTTGATAGACACAGCGCACTGAGTTCCCAGGCCTTCAGGGGCGAAGTGTATTCCACCCTGCAGAAGTCATTCGAGTAGTTGTGTTTCCTTCCCTTCTGGCCATGGGTTCTTTGACCAGCCCAGGCCACCTCCACCTGACTCCCTCAACTCCATCCTGTTAATGTTTTACTTTTGGAAATTGTCAGGAGACCCTTCCTTCCTCCCGTCCAGTCTTCTAGCAGTGATGAGGCCTCTCAACTATATATAGAAGGGGAAAGAGGTAATCATTCTTTGGTTGTGTACAAAATAACACTCCTAGGCTTTCTCCTCCCTCCCTCCATTCAGGTAGGTGGCATGGCTCTGTCCAGAGACCAGGTAGCTCAGGTTAGCCCTGTTTTCCTCAGCCCAGCATCTCTGGCCTGAAACTTTGTGAAACTGTTTCAAGATTCTAGCATTAGAAACTGTTTCCCATGGTCTTATCCCGAGTCATGATTAGTTCCCATCTCCCTCTGTTTTTAGCTAGATGTTGGCTAAAAGATGCAGTGTTAGCCGCAGTCAAAAGGACAAGATTTTAGCCTGGACTCCCATCACCATGGCTCATCCTTCTAGTTGCTACACTTGGGGAGTCAGTCTTAGATCAGCTATATCAGTGGTTCTCAACCTTCCTAACGCTGCGACCCTCTGATACAGTTCCCCATGTTGTGGTGACCCCCGCCCCACCATCCAATTATTTTCTTGCTGCTTCATAACTGTAATGTTGCTACTGTTATGAATCGGAATGTAAATGTCTGTGTTCTCCAGTGGTCGTTGGGGGAGGGGAGTCGTAGCCCACAGGTTGGGAACCCCTGAGCTAGACCCGGAGTCCCTGCAGAAGAGACAGTGGTATCTTGTACATGTCTACACCAGCTCTTACCAGCATAGCTCGTCTCACGTGGTTCCACTGAGGCTCTGACTAATGAGAAGTAATTTGCATTTCTTTCTCCAGAGGCTTTTCTGTGACTCTGGACGCTTTATTTCCCGAAGTCGCGTTTAATAATGAGCACGACAGTGTGGTTACGCCCCAGGAGAGAGGGCCTGCGCTGAAACCGTGTGGTTCACCTTTCCCGATTCTCTCGCTCCGTAGCGCGCTCCTCTTCCTTGTAAGTGCTCGTGTTTGTGCATCCAGACTGGTGAGCGTTGAATGTGAGAGAGCACGGAATGCACCAGCTTCCTGGTATCCAGCCCGTGCTCCATGGCCCAGAGAGGCAGGCTCTAGGTTAGGCTGCCTCCAGGCTGCTAGCTTTCTTTTTAAAGTTCCCTTTATAATCTGAGAGCTCCACAGGGTGTCTCCTCCTCTGTCACACTCTTCTGAGTGTCTGAGGTGACCTTTCTCCGTGCATGGTCTTGAGACCTTCACGGCACTGTTGTTATCCCCGAGTTCCTGAGGTGTTAGCTGCCCAACACTGTGCAGCTACTAAATGCCACTTTAAAGTAGCTAACTTTATGTCATGTGACTTTCACCTCAATTTAAAAAATGTTACTGCCTTTTTATTTATTTGTGTGTGTGCGCGTGTGTGCACACAAGCATGCATTCCATAACTTATGTGTGGAAGTCAGAGAACAACTTGAAG